GTCAACAAATAGATAAAATAGAATTAGAATAGAGAGTGATAGAGTTAGACGGTCAAATAAAGATGGAAGAGATGTTTTTTTCTACACACTGAAGTAGATTATCAGGAAAAACACAGTCACAATCTCCTCTTCATTCATATACATGTATAATCTGAAAACACGATTGCTAGTTAGAATCATGAACACATACTGTACTATTTTCATATGCGCGTTTATTACAGAGCTGTGGGTGTTGATGTTTTTATAAACTCTGCGCTGGGTGGGCGGAGCTTATGCGGTCACGTGACCGCGACGCTGCCCTTAAGTACGTCACGACCGTCGCGTCTGCGAAACAACACGTACGAACCGAACGCAGTTATAACGCGAGATTAACGATCGATAGCTGCGGTTCGCGGGCATGACGGCGAGATCCGTGTAAGCGCAGGTGAAGCGTGAGGCTTTCAGTATCGACGGTCAGTGGATTCGGCGATGGACCGCGGCGGGTGTCGGTTGAGCAGCGGCGGCGGTGGTATGATCACGCTGGAGGATCTGGAGTCCGTGTCGGAGGAGCAGCTGTCAGACAGTCCCGAGGAGGAGCAGGAGGAGGAGGAGGAGGAGGAGCAGCAGAGGAGGCTCCTGCAGTACTGGAGGGATGTGGCCCGCGGACACCAGGTGGAGGTGCCAACAGGTACAAACACAACAACCGCGGGGCGCGTCTCAAACCACAGCCGCCTCAGCGCCGGAGTTTCGCGCCAGTTTAACGGTCGTTCCCCTCAGCAGCCCAAACCCGCGGCGGAGCGCGACTCAAGCGCACATATGCTGTCTAAGTAGGCGGCAGAGACACGCTGACTGTTAAGTGTAGATAACAGACCGACACGCTTTAGTTTCACTCTTTCAGCAGCACAGAGGAATAGTCCTCATAGTGTGAGGAAGCTCGAGTCAGCTACTGAATGCAGAAATAAACATTAAAATGATTCTGAGTTTATCTCTCGCAATTCAGACTTTAGAGCGAGATAAAACTAAAAATTCCGAGGAAAATAGTCAGAATTGCGGGATGTAAACTCAGAATTATGAGGGAAAAAGTCAAAATTGCAATTACGAGTTTGTTTATTGCATATAAACTAACTAATCTGAGGAAAAATCTGAATTGTAAGATAAAAGTTTCAATTACATTTTTATTCCATGGCTTCTTGTGGCTCATATCGGTATAAAACACAGTACAGAATAAACAGTCAATTCAACTTCACTCTCTATAGTGGATGTTGGTTTTAGCACACACAAAATATTTGATTATTAAAAACAACGAGGAAACGGAAGTATGATATCATTGCAATCATTTTCAGAACGAGTTCTGGAGCACATGAATAATAAAAACACTGACAGCCAATCAGAATCCATCCTGCTATAAAGCGCTCGAGCATTTAAAGCGACAGGCGACAAAACTGCAACTAAAGGCGCATCACACCAGGAACAATAACGATAAATATAACGATAACTATATTAGAGTCCACAACTATAGATGAAAATAGCCAGTTTGGTGTATGCAAGAGGATATGGAATCTACACACGCAAATAGATAAAGTGCAATAAAATAAACACTTGGATATGTATTTTGGATGTTTTCTTTCCACTAGTCTGAATGATACAGAAGCAAAATAGCCCAAAATCTCCATGTTTTGTTTTTGCATGTAGTGTTTTGTTTTGAGACTGGTGTGCGCTCATGCATGTGTGTGCATGACTCTCAGCCAGGCAGGATTTTCCCATGATTCACGCGGTGTGACCCAGTTCAACAGATCATCACAGGACGCTGCATGTTATCGAACGCAGCTGTTAGTATGTGTGAGAGTTCATAAAATCATCATGAAGCACTGGAATCCTGCGGACGCACTGCTAAACACTCCGTCTGTGAAGGGTTTGTTCTGTAAACCAGGTGACGTGTGTTTGTGGCGCAGCGCTGAGCTTTAGCGGAGATCTCACAGAGATTATCAGGCTCGTCTGGTCCAGACCAATGCCTTTCTAAATCCAGTCCAGTAAAGCGCTTTACACGACTGCACACGTGACGAGCAAACATGCGCTCGCATTACAATAAGGTTCAAACACGAGTCACTATTGATCGCTCTTCATGCGTTCAGCACGTTTCCAATACCATCTGCAGCTGAAGAACAGAAAAACTCTCTGAAATATAAACCTTAGAGTAAGATTTAATTTGTTAACATGATTGGATCATGAACTAACAAAGAACACAATTCATTAATGTTAATTTCTACACATACTAATGTGTTAAGTTGTATAAATGAACACTAGTTCATTATGAAGCAACAGGAATTAAATATCTTAAATCATGTAACAAAATGTCTTTTTTTTTTTAAAGTCTAGGGGCAGAAAACTAAAATTGTAATACAACATTTCAAAATAAGAGTCTGTGTATTTCCAGCTTGTTTATATTAAAGGTCCCACATTATGCAGTATTTTTTTCAGCCTGTTGTTAGTATTTTGTTTACACAATTAGCCGTATCACATCAGTACACAATTAAATGCAGAATTCTCCATTTAAAATATTAGTTCCCCTAATTATTAATTAAACAGTTTGAAGTAGAAATATCTAAAAACCTAGTGTACTTTTTGGATTCAAATTAATTTAGCTTGGTAATGTCTCATCATATCCTTTTATTAAGGAAAAACATTATTTGATAGATTTTTTATTGTGCTCCTAAAGTTCCTGATGTGTTTCTAAATTTTTCAAATTAAGAGCACATGTGCTCCTTGAGAAAAAAATTACATGGCACTGTATTTACAGTATCTCACACTACTGTATATCTCATCTGTCAATATGTACGTGACGACTGATGTGTAAATCTGAATCCCATCAGCCCTGAATTCACCCACGCTGAGGGTTCTGGGTAAACTGACTGATGATGCACTGAAGTGTTTGCTGTCGCTGCTCGTTAGCGTCCCGCGGGGCAGATGTGCCAGAGAGCCCCTCGTGATCAGTTCACAGCGGGAAGAAATGTCAGCCAAAACCTAACATCATGACACTTCATCAGTGTGATGAAGCAGAATCCGAGCTGAACGTTGATGTCAATCTTCCACAGACATGGCTGAACCCATCCATCAGATCACCACCAATAACGAGGGCGCACACACGCGGGAGCAGGTGCCCTACACGCTCATCACACGCAAGGAGAAGGTGCGTACAGCTGACGAATCAAACACACTGTAACGCGACAGTTTAGCAGTTTAGAGACACACCTACAGAATCATCAATACGAGTAATGCATGTGATCAAACGCAGCTGCGTGAATGTGCCATTAAATCTGACATGAGGACAATTAAATCAAGTCACTGTTTGATTGGCTGCTGAAATCATTAGACTCCACCTACTTCCATTAATTGACACTTTCAATGAAAGTCAGAAATGAACCAGAGCTGGAGGCAAAAATGCCATTTGATGGGATAAAAAATGGATTAGATGTGACAAATATGATGCATATTATGAAATGTCGTGTTTAGCTTAAGAAAATCTCCAGAAGCTGAATTGCATCAGCATGTGCTGCAGAGCGCTGGTCAATCATTAAAATGTGTTCTAGAAGAGCATTTCAATCTAATCAACATCAAACACACAAGATATCAGCACAGCTTAAAGTCAACATTTATTTCTCGGAATTGATTCAATAAATAATTTGCCAAATAGATTTAACCCTAAAAAGGG